AGTCGAATGGTAATATCAAAACAGATGCTTGATAGTTAAGGCGAATAATTACGTACTGATTCTGAAATTATATATATATATATATATATATATATATATATATATATATATATATATATATATATATAGAAATGGTCCATAATATTCACAAATTTACAAATTTGAATAGACAATCTGAGGTATGAGTACGAACTAATGATTCCTTTGTACTTGATCGCCTGCTGATTTCGAATTCTAAATTTAATATTTTCATTTGTGCTCATCTAGTTCTACTTTCTTTAAACTGAATTATTTTGGGAATTCCTCGTTGGTACAATAATTTCAATACTTCTAATCATCATAGCTATGCATATTAACATTTCCAATGTATAAAGTAATTTTAACAGGAAACTTAAGTAGGGGTATAATTAAAACATCTTTGAGCATTTTACTGATTTGAACCAAAAAATCCAATGACCAGTTGGTATCAGTGTTATTTTCGTTGCCAAGTTTTTTGCCTAAGTTACTAGATACTCATTCCTCTGTTCGCATCACAACATAAAATATCCGTATGCTGTTGGATTATGTCGGTTTTGGTATGGAGATATTTTGACGTTCTAGTCAGGCTAATCACGTGTTCCTGATCTGAGTCGTGTTGAATTCTTATAGAGTAGACACTGGGAGGGAATCTAGTGTAGATATTCGTTTAAGGTAAGTTAACGTCCCATTCGTGAGTAAAAAGGAAACGGATCGTTATAACAATTGGTGACGGTGGTTAAAACGGATCTACGCTTATATATTCAGTTAGAGTGAAGTGATCTAAAAACTTTATTGCAACACCGAAATTCTCTTATCGAATTATTGGTCAAAAGTATGTCAATATTCTCAAGAACAAATGTATCTTATTCCACTATGACTTCGGATTCCATTGCGAATTCAGTAAGTGAACTTAGATTTGGTCGAGAATGTGAGGTTACCTTTGATGCACGGTTTGAACGCCATGAGGATTTGTTTATTAATGATTGTAAAGAGTGGGACGAAGGTTCAAAACTGAGATTATTATTAAGAAAGCTCGGAGTGTCAGAACATGAAAAGTTCTGTAATTTTATCCTCCCAAAGAAGTTAACCGAAATAACCGTCAGAGAGACAGTAGAGTGCCTGGCATGTATACTTGATGAACGATCATCAATTTTTCATACCAGATAACAGTGTCTCCAGCTTGTAAAAACTACAGGACGATTATATGACGTATGCAAACATTGTGAACCAGGAACGTGAGCGGTTCCGGTTTCAGGAAATGTCCTCAGATCAGTCTAAATGTCTTATTTTTGTCTGTAGGTTACAATCTTCAGTAGATGCATTTATCACCACATGGATTTTAGTGAGGATCAAACGAAATCCTAATATCCGTCTGCAATCAGTATCTGAAGAATGTCAAAGAATGGTTAATTTGGAGCATGGTACAAATTTATTAAAAAGGAACACTGAACACGTGGAAGATAAAGCTTTGCGGAAATCATTTAGTGGAAATAAGGACTCGTACTCTCAGCGAATCCCAAATCAAATGTAACCCAAAACGTGTTATTGGCGATGCGGTAAGTGTCATTCTGCTAATGTTTGCTACTTTAAAAAACGAGTATGTTTCGATGTGGTAAATATGATCATGCTCAAGTATACTGTAAAAGTAGGTCAAAGGTTGGTGATCGTCAGCACAAGTTTCGTGAGGGAAATAAAACGCATACCAAATAATTCAAATGTTGTTCTGGCCACAAAGAGTGATCAATTCTCATCTGAAAGGAAGTATGTGACTATCTTTTATAATGGCAAACCGGTTACATTAATTCAAATACTTCTAAACATTATTCAATCCCATATATGAAAATTCCCTATTTTCTTTTCAAAGATGTAAGCCGAATTTAAAAAATAACAAAAGAATTATTTCTGACATGGCAGACAATGAGAAGCTATTGGAGAAGCACTTTATATTTGTAACTGGTCATCAAGTAACATTGCAACTCAAACAAAATACTTTACAATCATCAAAGAAAGACATACAAACTAGATGAAATTTAATAGAAAGAAGCATTAACAAAATTCACTTAGGGAATTTTAGTTAACTGTTTACCTTTTAATTACGTTCTAACGCTCGTTTGAGAGAAATAAGTTTCTCAATTTAACATTCGCCATCCAAATCACTGTGACCTTATGGAGATCACTTAATATCTCTCATCAGACAGCTAGGACTGGGTCATTTTCATTTTCGGAAAATCTTCATGGTTCAGTTATACACATGGAAATAATTACTTCAAAAGTTGCCATAATAATATATAACCCATGAAATATAACTTTCTCCGAAAATTTCATTCTAGTAACCGACCAAAAATACCTCAGTTCTTGGGTTTTTTTATTCTGATGTGTTTCAGAAAACTTCCATAATTCTGGCTCGCAGAAAGTCAGTGCACATATTCACAGTAATCAATCCAGTTGTTAAAATAACAAGTATTGTTTATAGAGTAATGGATTAAGAATTACAATATATAAGATACAGTTGGTAGTTATTTTGACTGAGAACAATATTCGCAAAACAATTAAGTTCAATACAAACGAATTCTGTAAACATTAAGTTTCCTTATCGTGATTGTTGATTGTTTCAAAATCAATTGCCACCCTTGAAATTGTTCGCCTTCATTCTCTGAAGAATTGCTCAACATTTAAGAGATAGAGCTAAATAGTACTTTTAGAGTATTACCGTAAAAGTACAAGGCTATATATTTTTATATTGCTATAAGTTAACAGCAGGAAAGAGATGATGAATACTATTACAATTCACAACTATGAATTCTGAAATCTGCAGCCACCTATACATGAGCTTTTCATCATACTGCCATTTAGCCTAATTCTATTTTGACCTTGTAAGCTCCTTTTCACTGATTTGCGCTAGATATATTCACATTAAATGAAAAAATAAAAAAAACAGAACTTGAATCAAAGTAATACAACGAAATAAGTAAGTACGCTTATAGTTAATAAGAAAAAAGGTAACTTGAATTAAAAAGTAGTTAATATTACTTTGATGAAGGCACAATGAAGTTGAATAACCGATGAGCACATTAAAGTTAAAACAGGAAGTTCATATGATATGACTAGTAATTTATAATAATAATAATACTAAATACATAGATACATTAAATTAGAACTAACAATTATTCCATTGTCAGGGGTTGATGTAATTAAGTTATATTATGAATATTATATGCTCAAAGATGAGTATAAAATTGAGCAAACATAATATACATGAGTAATTCACGCTTCCTGGGTTTAATTACAAATGTGAAGCACGTTACACTAACTTCCAATAATAAACCAATGGTTAGTTTTATATTATTTTATTATTTTAATACAAACTCAGTGATGTATTAAAAAGAACTTCATAGGTAATAGTTGAATTTGATAAGATTTTAAGCAAAATAAATCTCTCCTAAATTCATTAGCCTTGCTGGGCTCAAGACAGTAAAACAGGGAGGTTTAGAGTATGATTAACAACTTCATCTAGCACTCCAGGGATAATGGTCATCATATACAACAGTTATCATATCCCATCATCAAAGTGAAGATTCTACAAAAGCCATGAGGCAGACGACTCTCTCACAAACAACAACAATACGCATAGCAATATGGAGTGTATGAACAATGAGGCAGACCGGCAGTATCAGTCGAATAGCTGTAGAAATGAGAAAATAAAGGCTGATCAGATCATGCTTAGGATAAGTGAGACTCGTTAGACACAATCTGAGAAGAAAAGACTAACTTCAAAAGAGAAGTTGTTGTTTTCTGATTATCAAGGAGAAGATTCTCCACATACAAACAATGACACTGACCCTCTCCAGAGAACCACAAAATCCACTAATGGAATGAGAGATCCACGTATCCAACATCAGAAACAAACAAGCAAAATTTGCCACGAGTGTCATTCAACACTACACACTTATTAATGATCGAAGTGGTGATAAGGGTCAGTTTCGTGATGGCCTGAAGTTTATCACAGAGATATGTATAGAATAACATTTGACTATCCTTATGGCAGACGTAAACGTCAAAGTTGGGATGGACAACATAGGATATGGACGCCTCAAGGGGAAATACGGGCTGGGAGTACAACGTAGAGGGATTCAAGGAGAAGTAACTTCAAAATTCTATGAAGTTATGGGTCCCAGGTCCCAACAAACACCAAGATAAACAATGGATCACTTTAGATAATCTGGTCAACATTCAAAAAGGAGGAGACAAGGAGACATCAATCGACACCAGTCGGACCACAGAAAAGAAAGACAAGCTGCACCCAGTTTATGCACGAGCAAACATGCGAATAAAGAAATACATTGCAGCTGACTATGGTGAATATCTAGAACACTTGGGAACTACAGCAGAACAAGCTTCAAGTGAAGAAAATATCAAAGAAGCTGACAGGGAATTATAGTGGACCAGATTAACCAGTTAGGAACAAGCAAAAGAACCGATTACTGAGGATCACGTGTAGCAAAACAGGTGGACAGAGCCGTTTGAATACATTGCAGAGTTCACCGAACATTGAAATGGCACACACAAATCTCTCTATAGATATGATCCAACAATTAGTGGAGTAAGCTGTCTGATATTAAATGAATATAGATTCTGAGTTATCATGTTTCACTATATCATTTTGTTAGGTCGTCTAATTTTATTACCACAAGTATTCATTTAGTCTGAGAATTACCAAAAAATCGTGTACCATACTTTCCGTTTCACAAAAAACACAAATAGAGTTTATAAGGCTAGACTGAAAGTTACTTGAAATTGCCAACCAATCAACTACTGATTTTACCTGGTTTCATTTGATCTATGAAATCAAAATGGTGACTCTATTTTAATATTCATCTAGTAATCAAGTGATTCGCCCACTATCATGCGAAACCTTGGTTAAATCACATGTCCTTTCCACCTGACCAATTTATATATATAATATTGGTTAAGGTTTACTTATTAAAATAATATATAATAAAATATGTAATTGGAAAAACTTCAACCTTGCTTCTCTTCAGTCATTAAAATATTCTATTCGATTACCTGTTGACATTTTATTGGCATTCTTAAAGTCTCTATTAAAGGTTAGTAATAACATTGGTGCATTTGATAACTTTGAGGGAATAATTTTTATCTTGTTTTGCTCTCTACGATGACACTGAAAATTCGATGTTTTAACGGATAGCTTTCTGTGTCCAAATAAATCATAATTATACTTACCGTAGTTTGTTGTTATAATACATAAGAATAAGACCACTAAAAGTAAAGTGCTGGAAAAATATTTGAGCTTCAAAAATTTATTATTATTATTTTTTCTTTGTTCATGTTGTACTATGAGTTAACAGTTACAAATTATGTTGAAGTCCACCACTGTACGGTAAGCTAATTTCTACATTGTGTTCATAATAATGACTATAGGCCGCACACGCTATACACATTGTTGTTACTCTGTTTTTAATCTAAATGAATAACATTATTTACCAAGATGTTCTAGGGTTGTGTTTTATGACCAATTGACAGGAGTTATTTGTTCGACAAGAGTGATTTCCTCGAGATTAGACAAAAAACGAGCTATTCCGTACAAAACCGAATCACTTATGCTTTAAAATGAGTTTCTAGTATTTTATGCTAGTGACCATGAAACAAATGTTTGCTTCAAATAAATCTTAACGTCCTGTATTGTTCGAATGGGACAAAGTCTCACTATTTTAGTATTTCTTTTTGGGAAATAAGCACATGAAACGTGCGGACGTATATGCTACATTAAATAATGGAATTTGTTAACCAAATGAAGATCGGTTGTTTAAACTTTTTCAGTAGTTTTGTATAAATGTATCTTTAAGGTTTGAAGGCATTTCCAAATAAAATAAATTAGGTAATATGATGCCTCTTTGATCAAGTAACTCAACCTTCGCAATCATTAAAATTGCACTGGCCAACTGACTTATTGGTTTCGCAGTTTAAAATGAGGTATTTTCGTATCTTGTGTTCAACTTTTTATTCCGACTTCTATCTCCTTGTACTAATACATTCTTGACAACTTCTCATTTCTTTATAAAAATTAGTCTGATATTTTGTCTAAAAGCTAAAAACATTTTGTTCTCAGTTATATCGAACAATTGCAATTCCACTTTATAGTTAGAATTGATCTCATCCGCTTACAATAGATTTGACTTTTAAACCAAACCTTGTCTTTATTTTTTAAATACTAATCGTATGTGCATTCACCTACCGTACATTATGAGTTTCAAATAAAGATCAGTTACCACTTCGTTATAATTAATGACATTATTGGCCTTCATTATTTAGTAGAATTTGTTGTCTTATCTGATTAAGGTTTTGAATTAAGTTGGAAAATCGGATTTCATGAAGGCGAGATTAAAATGAAAACATGTCCCCTAAAATAAATAGCTATATTGTCTTAATTCTTCCTTGATCTAGTCTTCATTTACATAAAAGTCTAAATTCTGATATAAAACAACAATATGTATCCTTTAGGTCCTTCTTGTTTTTGTCATCGTAAATTCCTACGAAGTCACTATGAACGCATTAAGACACCTAAAAATTACGGTGTTTGATCAGAATTCTGCTGTATTTAATGGTTTATATAACTACAAACTACTGATACTATAAATAACCACACATCCAGAACTGATTTGTAGGTTTTATGTTTATCGTTTTTTTATTGTGTAGTCAGTCAATTCAAATTGTAAAACTGATATATTTGAATGTTTTGGTCACTGTTAGGTTTTCCTTTAAGTACGCTAATCAAGTTAAAATATAGCTATAGCCTGTCGCTGTTTCTGTCCTCCGAAATTTGGTTGATTTTTATGGTTCATCAAGAATCAAAGACGGTTCAATTTATGTCAATCTCAAAGCTTTTGATAAACCTATGAACTCAGTACACAAACGACTTATAAATAAAACTTTGATTCTTCTAAACCATAGCACTTTATTTCTGTCGGTTAATTCCCGTTGCTTATGAATGTTCTACAAAATACATTCTGCCTATATTACTTTCCGAATTGTTATCCAATATAGTTTTAACTTCGATCCGCATTCTTGACTATTTATGATAATCATGCAAGCTTTGCTTCTACGTGCACACTTGAACATCCTTGATAGAGTACATTAGCCTCGTATAAACACGACTGAACAAATTATGTTCCAAGTGAACCTTCTAACCATATCTTACCAGTGAGATTTTCTTTTGGCACATATATGTTTCTCTTGTCAGAATTCTGTGACTTAAATATTCCTCCACCACAAGAATTTAGAAACACAGCTCTCGAATTCATTTTAAATTAACTCAATTATTATGATGTTAGCACTGAGTTCAAAACATCTACCTATGTTGACCTTCTGAGTCGCACTAATCAGAAGAAGTAAAAGTTTCACAAAAATTTCCATACTCACTGGTTGTTCAAGCTATTGAACGGATGTATTCCATTATATGAATTCATCTGATTTAGACCATATTTTTATGTTGTAATGAGAATAGAGGAATGAGTATCTAGTAACTTAGGCAAAAAACTTGGCAACGAAAATAACACTGATACCAACTGGTCATTGGATTTTTTGGTTCAAATCAGTAAAATGCTCAAAGATGTTTTAATTATACCCCTACTTAAGTTTCCTGTTAAAATTACTTTATACATTGGAAATGTTAATGTGCATAGCTATGATGATTAGAAGTATTGAAATTATTGTACCAACGAGGAATTCCCAAAATAATTCAGTTTAAAGAAAGTAGAACTAGATGAGCACAAATGAAAATATTAAATTTAGAATTCGAAATCAGCAGGCGATCAAGTACAAAGGAATCATTAGTTCGTACTAGTACTATAACAGCGTAAAAAATTATGGTTAAAAAGCTGAAAACTAAAAATTCAGTCTAAAAATTAGCTTATACAAAATGTTATGACGTAACTATAACTAAACTCAGTATCGTTATAATTATTTAAAGTATTTTTACATTTTCACAGTTTATATATGAAACTGAAAGCCGACTAATGTATTGTAATTGTGAGAATCCAAACAATAACCAAATATTGACCTTTGAACCCATGTTGAATTAATAACTTCTTTGAAGTTCACACAATTTGCACTGAAACAATCTGTAATGACTGATGGTCATGAGTTACTATTTTGAATGTTAAAGTCAAATAACTAGTTCATAAACTGAATTAGCCCTAGAATGCCCGTTTGCATGAACGGCTTAAAGTTCAAAGAATTCAAATATCTAACAGTTCTCTGTTTAACATAACACTGAGTGAAATGAATATTATCGATATCGAAACCCCTGTCTTTCGTCATTTGTCTAAATAAGGTGGATCTCATGAGAACTTTCTGTTAACTCTTCATTCATAAATAAATTATTCCTTGCAACGTACGTAATACCTATATATAAAATATTTTCAAGTATTTTTCATTTTAGCATAAAATTTTAATGAAGTGAAAGTGTAAAATGTATGACTTTTCTTAGGAAACCCTGTTAACTGTTTTTTAGAAAATGGATTCCTACACAACACATCATACGGCTAAACATCGAAACCAAAAGTTTATAATAGATCAAAGAATGAATCAATAAACGATCTCATTTAGGCGAATACTACAAACCTGGAAGCATTGAATAGGCGTTTCGTCCTAGCATAGGACTCCACAGAAGTGTGCACCCGGCTATGCATCTATGACCAAGCATCCAAGAATCGAACCTAGGACCTTCGATGTTGTGCAAGAGCGCCTGACCTCTAAACTGCTGAGATGGCATCCAATGGTATAAAAGTCTATTTTCAATCAACCCACGATATCGCATTATCATATTTCATTGTCTTTAGTGGGTACCTTCTTAAACCTTGACATATTTAAGCTCCAGTGATAATAGCTTCTCACTAGAACTTGGGAAATTTCTCTTGAAGCTAGTCCCTAGTGAGCACGTGATAATTGTCAGTAAAGTGTTGTGGAGATAGTTAAATTTCATTGAAACCACTAACCGATCTAAGTTAGACAACATTGAATATTGAAGTTTATCCAGTTTACTTAACCTCGTTGTAATATAAAAACCAACTTAAAGTATTCCAAACGTGAAGGCATTTCTAGAGATGAGTAGTTCACAGTTGTTGTGTTCGAAATGACTCCACGTATTTGTAAATTATTTTACAGACTAATAATAAATTAGTTAAAAATATATTTCTTCTTTGAATCTTTTGGTTTCAAGTTTCATACTAATCAGCATATTTCATGGAGATTTACCATTGCTGAATAACCGATTGTCAGTGACCATATCAAACTGGAATACGGAAATTTACCAATCATTTGGTTGGATTCGATTGTTTGCAGTAACAGGGATTCATACTTGAAAATAACTAGAGTACACAGAGCTTATAAGTTCCTAAGTAAAATAAAACATATGTTCGTTCTTTTCGGTGAATTTTCCTTTGATCGTAGTTACCGATAAATTAGGCGGTCACTGAAGGCACCAAATTTGTGAAATAAGGAATTGTACTCTCAATTTAAACGTAAATTGCTTCTAAACTTAATATGATATATTAAATGATGTTGTTCATCCCATTATTATATTGCAAAGTCATTTTAACTTGTTTATAAAATAAACTTAACAAACCATATTGAATATTGAAATAACATTTGACGTATTCTAATTGACATTAGTAATAGGCAGAATAATATTTTATGTGTGTAATTGTTTTAACCAACTAGTTTTGAGCGGAAAGTGGTAAAAATGGATTCAGATTCTAATAATAAACTTGAGACACTGAAAATGGATGATGTAAAGGAGCGTTTTATAAAGGAAGTGGAGAAATTTGATTACATTCGTTTAAGTTTCCCTGATCTTAATGGGATTCACCTCAGCAAGCTATTATCTACTCAATTTGCGAGGAAGATTGCAAAAGGAGAGAGTGAAGTCTACTCAGGAGCAATAACAGGCGGACCTCGAGGTGAAGTAAGTATAAGTGTGAAATTTTGTCACCATTAAATGCAATCTATCCTTGAACGTAATGCGAATTAAAATCGTTACCCAATTTTATGGCTTCACATTAGAAATAAACGAATTGATTTACTTGGAAACGTGCTTTCTAAGTGGTTCACTGAAACAGGCACTGACAAAAAACACAGGTATTTCATCTTGTTTTCGGTAGGAAATACAATGGGAATATATTGAGAAAGGAACTGAAAAGTGGTAACAGAGTTGGTGGAGAGGATTTGCATCTCATAGCCACCAACATTTTTACGACTAAATCATCTAACTCGGAGAAATCAACCTCATTAAAATAACACGGGTTTACTTGTTTAATACATTATGTTCCGTAGGTTCAGTTTAACGATAACAGACATTGTATATTTAGTTCAGATTTCGACACTACGATATTTTGATTCATCAGTATTTCTCAATGTTTGGATAATCAAGAACATGAACTTCATCTGAATAGACTAAACTGACTCGTGAATTGACTCTTCGCTGATTCATCTAAAGTGAGATATTACAATTGTTAAGACAGTTTCCGACTACTGGGAAAAGCAACTGGAATCAAATCAGTTAACTAGGATTCGATACAGTTTGCATTTATAAAAAAGTCCATTAAAGCAAAGTTTAATTCTTCAAGGTTTCCGGTTGCGTTCTACTATGTCGTCTCAAATAAGGGCAAAACATTCGTATTTTTACCTTTCGTATTCAATGGCATATCAGATACTAAATGTTATATATTATGAATGAACTGAAAGCGTAACTTAGGTAGTAACTAAAGGAGAAAAACCGTTCTACTGAGTATCTACCATATACTATGAAGACAGAGTTCGTTAAACTTTTCAGTTCAAATTTGTCCCTTAAATAACTACTTGAAAGACTTTCAGCATAATCTGATTCCTTAAAGAAACAAATTTCAGCATTACGAATCTTTCAATTATGCCTGAAAGAGCGAAGTTCTTATGTTTTTCGAAATGAATTGTCAAAAATACCCACTGCTACTTTGTTGTGCTTGATTTAGAGATTCTTCTACTTTCTAATTCGCTTATCTGTGTTTTGATCAATCCAAAATTCGAAACGAATAAACAATATGAAACTGAATTTTTATCTTAAACCTTCGGATCTTCACATCTTATCAAAAAACTGTTTTCACTATTACTGAAAGCGAAAACTAATTTACATCGGAGACTAAATAAAAATTCAGGAAGTTAAAAAATGTTTTCAGCTTGAGAAGAAGAAATCGATTGATATTTGATGTTTGAAAACTCCTTTCACCCATGTTTTGGTAAACATCATGCTTTCACTTTTGATAGACCGGGAATTCCATTTTAACACAATATCATCATACTTAGTTGTGTCAAAATTGGTCTTCATAGTGTGATTAGTCGTACCGCAGTTAATGTATTGTGATTTATAAAGCTGACATCATTTTCCTTTTAAATCATGTAGACCAAAAAGATAAGTTTGTCTGACGGGCGGATGTACTAGTAGATGAATAAACCAAGTGTTCTATTTCCTTGGTTCGTATAAACTTATATACAAAATTGAACCATACAACTATGCTAGAGTTTTCTTATATCAGAACTTCTTATGGAACTTGAACTGGCTTTACACCCCTGAACCTTTTCAATGAATAAGTTTATCTTCTTATGGACAAAAATGCCAAAGCTTTTGTAATTAATTAAATAACTAGAAATCACTTTCATATTTGTAATAAACCTTGTATAATGGGAAAGACATACATTTTTCACATTTTTTAAACAGATTGTTACGATAAATCATCCATATTTTGGCAGTATGATTGGTAAGTAAAAGTAAGAATCATTTCAAAACTCATAGGGTGTCAACAAACTTTGCTAAAAATAATATCGTACATACATTTTGAGTAATGCCCGTGAGCAAAGTTTTAGGCATGAGGTGAACAGAGTAGTGCTTTACTCCACAGTTGATCGTCTTTTCCGATCGACAAGTTTAAAGAAGAAATTCTATTATTTCACTGCGTCGGATCTGAGAATTAGGACATTATAATAATTACTATTCGGATAAAAAAACTTACAGAACTTAGACCAAAGCTACTAACATTTTACATCAAGCAGTGGATTACTTATTAGGTGTAAATATAATGCAACGGGGAAGTTTTGTCACTGAAATTAGTTCGAAGCTGATTTTTCTTTCTACTATGGCTAATATCACTACATTGTAACGTGTAGAAACAGTTGAGTAACATTTTCTAACCCGGTAAAATAAATGACTACTGTTATATTTTTGCGTACGTTTAGAAGCACTAGGTTTTGGTTCATCCGATTCATGACTTTTCATAACCTCACAAATGACAATAAGATATAAAGAATTCAACACAATTTAACTGTTTCTATGGTCTGTAAACTTTTTATTGCTCAAGAGAAACGATTAGAGACATTCGACGTAATTTTAAAATTCTCGGAACATTTATTTACTTTTCTTTGAATAAGACGTGATCTCTTCGTCGAGATCTCAACGTTGGTGAAACTGATTAAGAACTGTAACAAACATTTTGTGTATTTGATCTGCGATTCTAAAATGCAGATATGAAGCCATGAATCGGGACTTATGCTAAAATTTCTTGTAGCAGCTTGATAGCATAGACATGTTTTAGGAATTTTTACGACGATATAGAGATTTTTACCGTCGATAACCTGGTAATTGCAGAAATCATATAAACTATTGTTTTACTGAAACTAATCTTCATTCCATAAAATACTTTGCAGTGCAAAGTACACTTTACCTTCACTAGTGACGATTGTCCGATATTTAGCTTTTTCCCTATGAAACTAAATGCCATCAATATATGATAAATAAATCCAATTGAATTTTTTTACTTCACAGGTATTCGACGTGACAGAGATAATAAAGAGGAAACATGTAAACAGTAAACTTAAACCTGATTTTTCAACTTTACATCCATGTCACTGGATTTCAAATGGTAAAGCTCAACATTCTCATAATAATAACACTGATAGTGATGATAATCGTAGAAATAGAAAATATTCCATTTGTGCTGTTTTGTGTGATTTGGCCTGGCCAAATGATGAACCAATGAAAGCTCATCCAAGAGTTGCAGTAAAAAAACTTATTGATGAACTCCAAACTAAATACAATTTACGTTTATTTTCTGCTTTCGAACCTGAATTCAGAGCTTTTGAAAAAGGCACATTTGAAACAACATGCCTAAAGCCAACAAAAACACGTGAAGCTAATTTATGTTCATTCAAACTTCCTGTACCGTATACTAAGTTTTGTGATATATACAGGACAAGCCTACTATCAGTCTATGAAGACTTTTTCATCGATATTGATCACAACATGAAATATGCTAACATTGACATTCAAGATTATAGTAATGAGGACGGAGAAGGACAGTTAGAATCTCCACTAGTACCGTCTTGGGGACTATCCGCCGCAGACAATTATTTTATATTGAAGCAAGCTATTAAAGAAATAGGTAAAAAACACGATATGGAGATTTCATTTATGACTAAGCCCTTGCTAAATGCTAGTTCCAGTGGATGTCATTACAATCATTCGCTGTGGTATGCCGATACTGGTCGGAATGCATTTTATGATAATACAGGTAAACTTTGTTGTTACAATAAAAATATATTAGTTCACAGTGGTTCAAACATGTATATTAGCTCCTATCTGTTTTTTGGCAAAATATATTTATTTATATAATGTAGACATGGTAATAACCTGATAAGATCTTGACACGATTCAAACTTCTTGAGTTCCTGAATACTAATTTCCATTAATCTATTTATATATGAGAATCTAGCCATTTCAGTTAAACTGCATTTTTATATTTCGCTTGACCATTCAATTTATATATGTTCGGGAGGGTATAAAAACATCTCATTTTCTTACAGATTTAATCTTCAGAAAAGTATAAGTGTAAGTAGGAGTATTTCACTGCTTTATCCTTTTGATTTATGTCACTGATTCTGTTTTACTAAATTCAAGTGTATTTGAAGAGAATGGTAAGAATACAAACACCTTGAAAGTTGGATAATTCATTTCCATACTGGAAATAAAATTAAAATGAAGAGAACACAACAATTTTCCATAATGAAGGCAATGGTGTAAGCTATCATAAACTCTTTGAGGGAAGAGAATAAATCATACTATATTGAATTTTTCCCCACTCCTTATTTCAGATCCTGATGGTTTATCTGTGACTGCTCGGCACTGGATTGGAGGTCTTATAGAACACCTGCCGGCGATGCTAGCTATTTGTTCACCAACCACTAACTGCTACAGAAGACTAAATAAGTTTTTCGCACCGGGTGCTGTAAACTGGGACTTCCATGACAGATTTGTGGCAGTTCGCGTTAAAAACTTTGATGAAAAGAACACTTATATTGAAAACCGTATTCCATCATCTGCTTCTTGTCCCTATCATGTTCTTGCCGCTACATTAGCGGCTGGGTTGGATGGTTTAGACCGTCAGCTTGAACCACCACCTCCTGGCCAGAAACCATCAGAAAGTAAAATTGGGAACCAAGTGAAAATGCTCCCAAGTAGCCTTCAGGAAGCCCTACAAAGTTTGAAGGAAGATGAGATATTTACAAAGAAGCTGGGCAAAGACTTTTTTGAATGGTATACTCTCGTGAAAGAACTCGGTGATTTGGGTGCGTTGGGTCATTTGAATATAAAGGATAATCAAGAGGAAACTTTGGCATTCGAAAGATATGAATATCTTAAGTTTACGTAATAAGGAATATCTTTATGTAAAAAATTACTATTATGAACAATCAAATCTGTGAAATTAATTAAACTAATAAACATTCAAGTGATATCATAAGATTCGTAATTGTGTTTGATAATTAAGTGAAACTTTTGTACACACTAAATAGCGTATGATGTCTATTTCATTTAAGATAATTAAAAGTAACTTGTTAACTTCTCATCCTTTTTGCCCAATAATGCTGTTTCTAATGCTGTTATCTAGCAATACTATTTTTTCAAAAAAAAAGTGTTTTATAAATTACAGTTGACTTTACAGTCTTATCATTGTCTTTTCGAAGCAACAATTCTATTTGTGATATTTTTTCTACTCTGTTTGAAATAAATTCTGTTGACTGTTCCTTATTTACACTTTTATATTATACTTGTACAAAAGTGTTTACTGCGAGAAAAATATTGTGTTACCTTATGTTCTCGTTTATTCAGAGAACAGAAAAAGTACTATTTTTGACTAATAGATATAGAGTTTCCTACTAAAGGCGATATAAACTAATTTAGTATTTTCATAGTTGAAAGCGTGATTCAATTGAAGTTAGACCACCAAGGAAAACCTGGAAGCACTGGACAGCCGTTTCGTCCTATTGTGGGACTCTTCAGCAGTGCGCATCCACTATGAAACGGCTGTCCAGTGCTTCCAGGTTTTCTTTGGTGGTCTAGCTTCAATTGACTCACGCTTTCAACTAGGAAAATACTAAATATCCACAAAACCCCATCTAATTTAGTATTTCTCATTATCGGGAAATAATGTCCAATCTGCAAACAAATCAATAGGTTAATATAAAAACTATAACAAATCCTATTTTGGGGACCGTTTCGTACTTCATTCCTGATACGCGTATCATTGTTTTAGCATAATGAATAAGCTTAATTTACGCTAATTCTCATCCTCATATCTTTTTATATTTTTAAGTTAGCCATAGGCGATTCCCTAATGATTAATTATCATATTATGTTTATTTTTACATACTGAGCAGTAAATAAAAGTAATTTTTAGTCTCCATTTTTGTATCATATGTTTATATTCTAGATTGTGAGAACTTACATGCCAATGCACTAAAAACGAATGACGAGATAGCTTCTACTGACTTATATTCTTGAGCAATGACCTTTTCCCTGAATACAACGCTGTCAATCATACTGACATATTACCATTGGAACTAAAACATGTTCAGTCGTTTAATACATGTTACAAACAGACTGAAATCTACTCTTTCATTTACATTGATAACTGAATCCAATTCATCACAAAAGATACGTTTTATCATACAAACTCGAAAGCCATAAAGCTCGTTGTATATAATTTATGAAATACTATCATTAAATAGTAGCTTTGATTATATTGCTATACGTCTTGACATTCATTTAATGATTGATCATTACTAGTTTACTGAACATGTTTATTCAAACTTAAGTGACTTAGTTTCTTATTAAGTTGAGCATCATTCTTATTTTTTGTTTTTACCTGTCAGGATTATACATGTGACATTCTTAACAGCTATATAAACACATATTAAATTTGAACCATATAAAGCCAACAGCAAATGTCCGCTTCAGTTTACTTGTTCAAAGTGAACTGATTGAGTTTATCCACTGTTTCCGTTATTTAGCTCGATACAAGCTTGAAGACATGTTATAATGATACGAATAAATCATGTACCTTTCTCAAATGGAGTTATTAAAAGTTATCATACGATAAAAACTTTTCAAAATATATGTGTGGTGCAAAATGGAGTATTTTATCTTCTTTATTATATGGATCTGCGAAATAACTACTTAAACACTTTGGTGCTTAGTGACGTGAAGATTCAGAAAGTATCTGTTGTTCAACAGATTCACGTGAAGACAAATTCTGAGACTGAAATTTATGAAAATAAAACGATGGAGGAGCAGACGAACAGTTATGCGTTGACATCTTTCAGACAGGTTTCACAAATTCTAAGGCGATTTCTGTGAAGTGCAATTCAAATCTCACTTCCAGCTTTCAAGAGAATGCAACGGCAACTGAGTCACAATATCTGACCTATCCATGAATTCATTTCTCCGTACACTGTATTTTTCGGATTAATAAAAGGATCCAGTATAGAACCATGTTCTGAGATAATCTATGACACAACCTGGAAAACGTAACTTTCAATGTTTTATTTTTTTATATTCGTTTATTTGTACCATTAAAAGTTTTCCTGTTTACCTTCGGATGGTGTGTTACATAATTTCAAAAGGGTAAAAGGTTGGCATCTGTTTTGTCATTTTGAACTTCATGGAAGTTTATTCACAATATTATTTGACCGCTGAATGTTACGCCTATTATTAGTAGTTCTAATGAGAGCTGCCGTTTCACCCTGAGGTTCGCATGCTTTAGCTAACTTTTTGAAATCTGTGATAATCCCTAATTAAAAGGGAAATACATGACAATTTAGAAAATCTATAAACTCTTCTGTTGCCATCAATTATCATAAGATTTTATTTTAACATTATACAAATAAATCATTTTTATTCTTGAATCATTTTAATAAAAATAACTAGATTGCAACAGTTTTAAATTGTTCTTCTTGCTTTTTTACTCTTTGAGGATCCACTGGGACTATAAATTTGAAACTTTTCTTTTCTATTCAGAGGTGACCTGCAAAATTCTAATCTATGTGGATAGTAATTTTGCCAGATCCATCGTGACAAGACATCGAATAATCAGAGTGTTGTTTGTAACTTACTTGAAAACTTAACTATTGAAAATATTTCCAATATTTCGAAATAAAGATATTATTTGAAACTCCAATCTAGCCCTGTTTACTATTAATGAAATAATGAATTGAGAAGAAGTATTCCAAAAAACGCAGACAGATGGGAAAATATTCATTCAATCGATTTTGGCTATTTTTCATAACAGACGTTTCCCTTGATATGGTAGATTTGTTTAGAACCGAATGAACTAAAAATTACACAACTGTTTCAGAACTAGTAGTGAGTTGGAAATGACATAGCGATATAATGTTTGTAATAAATTGTTAGTGTCTAGCAGTGAATCACTGATCTAGATAATAACTGCTTTAGTGCTACCAACTAATGAACCAATAAGTCCTCATAGCAGTTAAACGTAGAAAAAGTTAGCAAAGCTTTTTGACTTTTCTAAATAAGATGGAGAAACTAGGTTTTGATGAACTATCCAAGTGATTTGTTTCGATTAAGTTATAGATCGTAAAATATACTAATAATAGAAAATCTGTTCTGAATACTTCATACTCAACGAAATATTTTGTGTCAGAAAGTTATGACTCAATTAAAGAAATAAGTAGTGGAATTTTCGATTGGTCTTTCACAGCTCTTCTGTGTTACAGCCAATAGATTGTCCCTGAATCATAATCTTTAACATACCAACCAATTCAGGTGATAGTTTTTAACCATTTCCAGTTATCATAACTAATCACGCCTAATATTGGATTGCTGTTTAACCATAAACTGAATCAGCTTTTATTGAGGATGTCATGCAAAATGTGACTGTGAGAATATCTAGCAATAAACGAATCATTTAACTTGGTAAAATGCTTTGCGATAGAATGTAAATTTTCACAGCTCCGGTCGTCTATGTTCTTTTATTTTCATTTCAAACAATTCGTTTGCCTGAACCGATATTCTGGTGTGAGTTTATGTCATCTTCAGCACAGTTAAGTGTTATCGCTTACTGGACATTTGATTTTTTACCTTTCTTTCACCGTAATATTCCTCGTCTCTTTATCAATTGTGACTTTATTATTACTGGTAGTAGCACTAATATTCAACATTCGACTAGCGTTTCATTATAATTGATAACGGTTCTTCCTTCTAATTTTTCTCCTTTAAATAAGGTATTTTATCCTAATAAGACATAATTCGTTGATCATGATTTTCAACATTATTTAATGAAAGAGACTTGTGAGGAGACTTTCACATACCACAAACGGTTACCAAACCTGTTACAAGTCACTAGGATATAATGAAGTTTTAGTTTTTCAATAACAGCTTGGAAAATATCACATGTATCCTTTATGTTGTGTAGATAATGAATGATTCGAAACAGGCCCACACATATATGGAATGATCATTATACTGTGGTGCGTGCTTCTGATTTCGACAGATATAAGCAGTATGTATCATCAATCGAAAGTGAAACGTTTGGTGATAGGTTAAGAAGATCGAAGGAAAGAGGACGAACACAGTGAGAGATTGATGTGGAAACGAAGGAACAATCAAGTCTGATACGATTAATTGACATTTTTCAAATGAAGTATTTGCTATATGGTTCTCAGACTTTAATAAGATATTCTGTAATTTGTATTCATGCATACTTGGTGAAACACCAGTGAGAAAACAGATGGCCACGAACTAAAGTAACTCATAAAAGATCAGCCAGGATGAATGAATGGACTCCATTGAAGGAAGCTTTGATTATGTTTAACAAATCGGAGGCATTGACACACCGGCTACCTCAAAAGTTGTCGATCATTTATTTCTAGTGCTTAGTACTATGTCAAGTCTACATGGGTTATTCTAGCTTCCAGGCAGACCGATTTATTCATTCTTCTTAAGTCATATTCTTACCTTGTTAGTCATTCGCTTACTAATCCTGACTGTTTTATATGAGCGCATGTGTGTTGACTGCTCACCCTATTTATTAGGTGTCTGTAACTTAATTTCGCCTGACTATAAATACCGAGTCATGCTTGATTAAAGCGAGTTGGTTCACTTGCTCTTTCCGCGTCGCTTTGTTTCTCAGTTTTACAACGACATTCTCCACTTCTTTTCACTTCTCTCGCTCCACTTCGTTTCTCTGGTTGTATGTCCAGATCATTGATTGTGTGGTGGTATTGGTTCCTAGCCACAAATTTCTCGAGGCTAAACATGCGGTTACTTAAAATGGGGACATTCAACATGCAACGCTTAGAGGAGGTCAGCGATGGTGAACTGAAGAACAATTAATCGGTATAGCTCAGTCTTGAAGGCATGACCATCCTTCCAATACATCCCTATGTGCATTAAAAAAATAACATTCGATCACCATCCCTAGTGTGTTTTTCAGAAGTTCTGAAAATCATACTGCTGATGATAACGATAGGATGAGTCAGTGTAGACAATGATGTCACTTTCACGTAAGATCTTATAGATTGGATAATCACATCATGACAAGTCTACGATTTTAGGAATAAGTCTACCATTATAGTAGCATTAATACCAATATACAATCCATGAAGCTTGGCTCCATACATTATTAGCTTGACCTCAGAAATCCGTTTGATCCAGCTTCAGTGCATTTTATGATATATACACAGTACAAAAAAGCCACTCACCTTTATGCAGCACTGAGTGCAGGCT